AGTGTAGTCGTAGTGTAGTCGCAAGTTGCAATTTCTCTGTTGGGTACTTCAGCTCAATGTTTAGTCACGAAGGGGTTACTGCAAACGTTGCTGTCTTAATTTATTTTCTAGGATTGATTCAGCTGGCGAGAATGGTACAGTGTCCTCCTGTGAAATAATGGCACGCTCACGGCAAGCGACTAACTCGTCATCAGTAGCTACTGCCGCGAATATCAGCATTCATTTCGCAACTTCCGAGAAACTAGCTTATAATACAAGAAAAAGAATTGAGGTTTCCTGTCTAGTCCTTTTTAGAACTTTTCCAGCGCTTTCATTAATGATGTGAACTGGATTAATTGCCAAATTCAGGTGCAAGTTCCATTATTCATGCAAAAAACGTTGGCTAATTTTTCATCATCAGCACGAATCGAAGTGGTAGTGTGTGATTTGCCCAGCGATGCAGTCCGTCAACTTGTCGCCGCCATAGACAGGAACCTTTCTTTAGAAGAACTTCATGTTGTTTTTGATAATCTTTCTCTACAATTGAATAAGTATAAAAAAGGACTAAAATTTATTCATGAGACTCTGGTTAGTTTGTATCAGATGAAAGAAAATTGTGTTATTGCTCTTTATTCTCGGCTCGATTCAAATGGTTACTGTAAATTTATTCTTTAAAAATCTTCTGGATTGCGGGGAAATGGAAATGAGTTTTGGACAGAACTGGGGTTATTTTGGTTCACTCTCTCTGTGCTACATCTTTCGTCCTGAGTGCTTGTTTTTTTGTACTGTATGTTCAGTTGTTTTACTGCAATGGTCTTATCTGTCGATGTTTTGCAGAATGTCTTTGTGGTGATTTCACTTCTTAAGTTGAAAAATTAATGTGATTGTGGTTAATATTTTTTCATCTTCTAATTTTTTTATTTGGTTTTTTCTCGGTTTTCTAACAGATGTTCTATTGACTGAAGTCTTAAAAGGACGAGTATTTTGTTTCTGTATAGCTTGTTAAATAGTTGCGTTAATTTCTTGTTTTTTTTTGTTGTTTGACTCAATTATGTTGTTTTTTATAAATTGGTGGATTGGGTTTTTAATAACTGGTATTTTGGAAGAAAAAAGAAAGCATTTTAATGTGTGATTCATTAAATTTTTTTCTTTACTGGTTTAATGTTTGCTTGTCATCCTTTTTATTAGGAAATATAATATTCTTAGTTTTTTTTCATAGGGCCGATAACCTCTATAACAACGCGTGGCTTTGATGAGCATTTGCGTGGGACTTGTTTCTCACAGTACTTCACACGGCTTTGTCAAAGGTTTTGTTTGACGCGTTTTTGGTGTTTGTCTTCCGGTGGTGCCATATTTGACTGGTACTAGGCACTGTGTAGGTTTCTGCATCAACAATAGACTATTACTATGTATGGGTGAACTTTATTAATATTCCCGGCAAGGAGTAATTGGGTTTTAGTTGCAAACTGTCTTTTTTTTTTTCTTGAGGATGAGTCCGTAGGGGGGTTGATATCTCCGAAAACGTTGACACTTCTTAACTGTAGGGGTTTATTTTTCAGATGATAGTAAGATTGCTTGTGGGGTTTTCGCCCTGTAGGAGAATGCTGTTTTGTTTGGTCGGCAGACTTGGTTAAAGGCTATCTTCCGCTTTTTTGGGGTGTTAAGTAAATCGATTTTTGCTCCTATCGATTTCCCAGGTAAATTATTAAAGCATAAGTATTGGGGGTTAGGCAGATGTGAAGGTGGGAAATCAGACGCATGGAGGGCTACATAAGTGATCAGAGGGTGAGCGAGTTTTTGGGCAGGCGACGAATTTAAGGAAGAAAGGAAGTTTAGAAGGACGGATATAAGAGTGGCTCTTATTATTTTTGTTGTTGTTAAGAGGGCACGACAAAGTCGGTGATAGGTGACGGGAGAGGAAGACGACTTGCGGTGAGGGGAGAGAGGGAACTGCAAAGCACACGGGGATGGGAGCTGCACTGCGGCCCCGTACAGGTCGTCTCTACCGGTGATGACAATGATGGTGCTAGTGATGATGATGTTGGCCACCACTGCAGTATCCATTTTGCTGCATACAACAAATGACCTATTTATTTTTTTATTTTTTGTTTTATTTTTTGCCTTTTTTACATTTTTTGATACTGGCAATTTTAAATAATCTAGTAATTTTTATAAACGTTACAACAGTTGTAAAATATAGACGCTGAAAGGCCAGTTAGTTGTAGTGCGATTTTGATGCTCATTAATATTGATTGTAAATTTTTTCAGTCAGTGGAAAACTGTTAATCAGTTAGCTTAATCTCAATTACGTGGTAGAACTTATAAATAAGTAAAGAAGTGGAAAAACAGTTATGAGAACGCAGAGAGGACATTTTTTGTTGTGTATAAATTCATATGTAAACATTGTTTGTGAGTTCGTACTGGGCATCGGTGAAGCATGTTTACCTTTACTTTTCTTGATCGTTGTCTTCTTGAGCAGAGACGAAGGCGGAGAGATGTAAGTGCAACTCACCGAATAAATAATATGTACTACAGTGTTGTATCGTTAATAGGCTCTAAAAAAGTTGATTGGAAGAGAAGTGTTGCTTGAATGGATTGTGGTTTGAAAGAATTCAAAATTTTTGGGTGTTGGTGATCACAGGTGTCGATATTTTTTGAATTTATATGGATATTTTTCTTCACGTTTTATTATTATTATTATTATTAATTGTTAATTATTATTATTATTATTGACCATTGCCGCTATTATCAGTGCTTTTATTGCTTTGTTTTTAACGTGAGATTCGGAGAAAAAGCAGGTTTAATGATGCTTATTTATTGACATCTAGCGTATCATGCAAATCTCAAAATTGTTTTTGGTAGTACAAAAGTTATTTGGTGTTTTCAAGGCCTCTATCTGTTAGCGGAGGAAGAAGGGAATGGATTGGGTATTTTGCGATTGTCCTCTTTTGCCCATCTTATTTTTGTGCAGATTTATCTATACATATGTGAAAGACGAAGAATGAATGGAACGCCAAGAGGCATGAAAAAGAAAAAAAAAAAAAAATTATGGATTTTAGGTTTCAATTGATTGACTGGACCACAACATTTTGCACCAAATAAGAACAGTAATTATCGCGGCAACACTCTTCCACCACCTCAGTTCACTACAATGGTTATTATTATGCGTTTGGTTATTTTCAAAATAAAGAATTTTTTTCACGTATATT